TGTGTTAAAGTCTTATTCTGCCCAGGCTTTTTTGATAATAAAAGCTAAGTTATTCTAGCCTGGAAGGTCCCTCCAGGTTTGAAAGCGTGATCTAGACATTTACTCATTTGTCTCACGGCCCAGCCAGGAGAGGTTTCTCCAACATTTCTCCAAGCAACCTGCTAACTTGGATAAGTCTTGCTCTGCTTTTTGAAGGAATGATGTGGATTTAAGTGTCTGACAGGAGCCTGCAACAAGAGGAGGAAGGTCTTTGTGGAAGCTGGGGAATGAGACGAGACGCAGAAGGGCTTTGCCAAGAATTATTTTGGCTCGCGGGTGGTTAGGGGCCTGTAGGCAGCAGTTCTCCATCATGCATCACCTTGAGTAGCTGCATCTGACAAAATCTGACTGACAGCAGCAGGGGAGGTTGGCTGGGGAAGAATTTTTTCTAGGATTTTTTAGATTCCTTGTAACATTCTTGAGCCCTTCCTGACTCTTCAAGGAGAAGGTTTATGGGGCAGTTGGGATGCACCACACTTGCACAGTGGCCACAGAAGAATCCACATGCTGGATTTCATGAACTGGTGCATTCAAGAGAGCAGGGACAATGGAAATCTTTTATGCTTTGGTCCACCAGTGCACAACACCTAAGCTCTCCTAGCCACTGCTTAACAAGGAGCTAGAAGTAGGTCAGGATAAGGCTGGGATTCATTAGGGGTTTTGTTCATCACTGCTTTAAGCCCAGACTAGGAGAGTAGGATTTATCCAGTTAAATATATGCATTAGTACCATTTGATAGACCTTTATGCTTCTGGAGGGACAGCTGGTGCTGAAGAGCGATGTTCTACACTACCTCAAACAATGCTCAGTGCTGATATTTAGACACCTGAATTCATCCCAGAGGTTGGGATTCTGCTCACAGGTTAAGATATCTAAACCGAGGTGCCTCTGTGTGAGCCCGGGTCCCTAGGCTCCTGTTAGTGAGTGGAGATGTGGTCAGCACAGTTGGTGGAGCCTGGAGAGCTGTTCAGCTGAGCACATGCAGGTGTCTGCTTCACTCTAGAATCCTCTGCCTACTTTGGCTCCACTGAGTCAGATGGGAGTTTAGAGGTGTTTCTCAAATGTAAGCGTTTAAACTCAAAAATCTGTCTCAGTGAGGTCAGCTCTGGCTGGATGGTGTGATTCAGGTGCCTAAACCTACACGCTTATTCCTGACTGAAGGTCTTCTGCCATCTGCTAGCTGCCAATCCACAAGGATCTGGATTTTCAACACATGTTGTGCTGTATCTACCAGCCCCACGTGGATGCTTTGGATGTACTGCACCTGCAATGTCAGCTCTCCCACTGAGCTCAGGAGAGGTGGCTCCTGATGTGAACAGCCTCGTGTCCAGGTTACCTTCCTGCGTTTCATGACCATGTCTTGTTCAATCTGCTCTAAATCTAGCCAAGCCTGTCCACAGGAGCGTGTCTACCAGTCGAGCCAATTCCTCCTGGTTTCTTGCTTTCCCATCTCCTGTACAATGGTGGTCGTCTCCTTTTCCAGGTGGAGCAGATGCGAATGAGTTGGGGGAGGTGGAAGGGTTGAGAAAAGCCTGGACTGATGAATGACTGCAGTGTGTAGCCCTTCTGCAAGTATCTCAGCAATTTTGCTCAGTTTGCTGATGGTCTGGGCGTGAAATCAGGTATAGGAGCTTTGTTTCACATGAACTCAGCTCTCACTTCTGGACAACCAGTGAAACGTGACTTTACATGAGGGACAGTATGGGTGAGGGTTTTTTTTCCTCGGTGTTGAAATGTGTTCTGTACGCTCTTGTCTAACATTGTGGGATTTCTTGCAGAGTTGGCTAGACACTTTGGCACGCAAAGCGTGACAGCCCCTAACCAAGTCAGCCCAGCTGAGTACTATAAGCAGTAACACATCTCCCTCTGTAACCCGTCACTTGTTTGAATGCTACTGTGTATTATTGGATTGCATTTGAAAAGGTCTTGGCTGTCGCAGGAATGAAGTGTGATCATTGGCCAGGCTTTGCTGAAGGCCGTATTATACATAGTGTCTTTCTAAAAATGTCTCTGTAATATCAGGATTGGGCCAGACCCCAATTCTGAGTCCATGACCTATTGCACATTTGCACATGGTGCTCAGCAGGACTCATGCAGCCAAATAATTAAGAACCGGATGGTCAGGAAATGGACTGGAGCCAGTCCTCTGCTGTCATGAGGCCATAATGTTGGCAGATGCCATAATGGGCAGAGGGGGGAGATTTTTTTCTTTTTTTTTTTCTTTTTTCTTTTTCAGATCCCATAGATGCCCAAAGGAAGGGCGCTTGCAGTAGTTCCTTGACAGGAGGCAGCTCTATAAAACAGACTCTGTTCTAACTTGCTATTTTAAGGGGTGGTTATACCTTACCCATTTAAAATCAAAATGTAGCCTATTTTGGGGGAAGGCAGAACTAGAACTATAAATATCTGTTTATAATCTGTGGACAAAACACAGGTTATCTATGACTGTCTAACTAAAGTGTCTGCTCTTGTGTTGCCCATGGAGGAGTCCAAAGTGTACACCTATCTCTGGAGAAGGTGGAGGAGAATATTCAGATGCCATTTATAAGGAGATGGACATGCGTTTGTGTCATGAAGCATCTTTATTGCAGTCTGATTCAAAAAGGATGAGATCTTTTGTTTAGCATCGGTCAGTGTATGGGCATGGGATCCTTTACGACACCCGGGGGGCTGTTAACCATCTTTGTCTCTCTTCAGGGTGAATAA